CCTGGCAGTGGAGGGGGGGGGGCAGGGGAGGCGCCTGCTGACCTGGGGTGGCCTTGCCTGCCCTGCCTCCCCTGCAGGTACAATTGCTCTTTTTCTGGGTCAGCCTTGTGATCTGGTGTCCAGGCACTTGGCAGAATTTAGCAACTGTTCCCCAGGGCTCTGTCTCTTGGTTACACTATTCACACTGACACCCTTGGGACCATGGGGGAAGGGGCACTGCCGTCTCTGCCTCCCACCCTGCCCTGGTTAGAGGGCCTGGTTGCCCAATCTCCAGTCCCTCGGAGGAGGTGGGCAGCTTTGCCTCCTTTGCGGATCTTCAGCCCCTTCTCGTTCCGCTGGCCCAACCTCTCTTCTGGACCCAGAGCTGGAGCAGAGGTTACTATTCATGACACACACCCACATATGGGCCTGTGCAGCCAGACGTGGCCGCCTCAAACCCACGTGACTCAGAGCCGTTGAATCACTGCTGTGTCAAATGGAGCCCGACAACTGTGCCAGCCGTGGGATGGATTTCGAAGAGTTCCTACAAGAAAAAAAAAAGTGAGCACTCTCACCTGTTGAAACAATAATATTCTGGAGGAAACGTATTCAATAAGATATGATCTAAAAATACATCGCACCTGTGTGTTTTGACCTTTATAAACATGGCTACTGGAAAGGGCCATCTATGTGATTAGTGTAGTATTTCAACTGGACAGCGTGACATCTGTCTCCACAGTGGCAGGGTTCCTGCCCAGCCTGTGGCCTGCTGAAGGCTGGTTCTAATCCCCCAGGTCTCCCTGCTCGCTGGCAGCTGCAGGCGTCTCTACCCACTGTGCCAGGCTCCCACCCTGCTCTCTCAGGGGCTCCCGGCCACTCTTCAGGACCCAGGGCTAGCGCCTCCCATGCAGGGAGCATCCTTGTCCACGCTGCCTCAGAGGCTTTTGTCCCCTTGGCTGTCACCAGGCTATTCTGTTCTTGAGGGCAGTGTTTGTGCCCAGAGTGGAGTGCACAGGACCACAAGTATGCTCGCCCACGCCGAGGTGAATGACCCAAAGGGCGGAGCAGACCCAAACAGGACCAGAACCTCATCTTATTTGTTTTTCCACTGTGGGAGGCAATAAATTATTAACCTTAGTCAGGATATTTTGGGTGCTGCAGAGAGCCCCTTAGTACCCACCTTGTCTAGGCTTTACAGCTGCCTGAGACCACATGAAAGCAGTTTTGGGGGTGGGCAACAAGATGGCTAGGGAGTAAAGGCACATGCTGCCAGGTTTGGTACTTTTACTTTAGTCCCCAGGAAGTCCATGGTGAAGGAAAGAATCAACTCCTACAAGTTGTCTTCTGACTTTCACTTGCATGGTGTGACATGCACACCCTGCGTATAAATAAATGTCATATAAAATTGAAAACATTTTTGGAAATTTTCTGTTATGATAAACATTAGGTTTTCTTTTTTGTAGCCTATTCTTCATCTTCCTGCCTTCACCTCCCAAGCTAGTATTACAGGTGTACGCCGTCACATCCAGCCAAGAACTTTAAATCCAAACAAACTTCCCATAGCACAAGTTCAGTCCATCAGACATGCTTCTGAGAACCCAACCTTGGTCCAGACACGCTTCGACACATATGAAGGGAAACTTGGGCCTCCGGGGCTACACTGTGCCTCACACACTTGGCCTGTGGCTCTTAGCCTTGGAATCACAACCAGTTTGTACGTGATACCCACCCATATCTAGAAGATCCTGAAAGCACGCACACACACACACACACACACACACACACACACACGCAAAATATCTCTAATATAAATGAAATAAACTTAAAGAACTAGTAACCTTTATATTGATCGACTGATGAAGTCCTATATTTGAGGTCAGCTGTGTTACCTATATCATGACATCTAACCTCACGTGTCTCTTTTTCCAGTGCAACCTCTAGAAAATCTTAGCAGACTCATGTGGCTTACGCTGTATTTCTGTGGGAAAGTACTGAGAGCCAGGGAGATAGCTCAGTCATAAGATGTTTGCCACGTGAGCATGAGGCTCCAAATTCAATCCTCAGAATCCACATGGAAAAACCCAGCAGAGCTGTGTGCTTCTGTAACTACAGAGCTGGAAGAGTGGAGGCAGGAGAATTCCCCAGTGCTTGCTGGCCAGCCAGCCCTCCCTATGGGGTTAGTCCCAGGCTTGGGGGTATCTGAGCTTGACCCCGTGACCCCCACACCCATTTACATACACCTGCATATGGATGGAAACACATACACACACACACACACACACACACACACACACACAGGGATTGCTCTAAGGTAAAGGTGCTTTGTGTATTTTGAGGCGTTTACAGATGTGCTGAACATTTCAAATGATTTTTTATAATAGTTTAAGATCCTGAGAACTTTCACTTGAGTCTTCCCGCCAAAATGTCCACGCGGTTGCACAAGTTCTGATTCAGATTCTTCTGGGTTGATCTCATTAAGAAGACCCACCTTGACTTGCCCCCTCCAGAGATGGCCCAAACAGGCCTCTGGGGGAACTCCTGGGCTCTGCAAGAGCTTGCTTGGGAGTAATTACAATGTGCAGACCCCCCTGTTCACACACTTAGTCATAATTACTTACCTCAGCAGCACCAGCCGCGTGAGAGGAGACTCAGCAGGCTCATCACCTTGGGTTTGACCTGTCAGCCAGATTTCACAGCACCTGCCTGGTTTAGCCCAAGGGTTGTGATTCACCCTCAGGAAGGGAGCTGCTGATATGGTCTACTTCCACATACTTACTTGTTCTTGTTCTCTCTCTCTCTCTCTCTCTCTCTCTCTCTCTCTCTCTCTCTCTCTCTCTCTCTCTCTCTCTCTTTCATGAAGGAAGAAATAGAGGCGTCTGTGAAGCACGTGAGAATGCTTTCACTTGGATGAACTTCGCAGGCCCCGTCCAGATGCCTCTGAGAAGTCAGTCTTTTGATGTACACACACAAGCAAAAATATGAAAATCTGTGTTATAGAGTACTGCTTTGTTTTGTTTCTTTAGTTCCTTGGACATAGCTCCTAAATAAATGTCTTTCCTTCCCTGGAGTCCTGCCCAAGAGTAGGAACCCCTCCGGGTCCCCTCCCGGAAGGCAGTCAGAGAAACAGTGCCGCGTGCATCAGGCATCTCCGGCTATTTGCCTGCTGCCATGCCCGCCCCACCTGTGCGGAAGGCTATCAGGAAAAGGAGACGGCAGGCTGGTTAAGGGAGAGAAAGATGAGGGCCCTTTCACGATGAGGTCAGGTGACTTCTGAGGTTGGATCAGCTGGCCAGATGCACAATCAATTTTCTTGCTTCCTTGGCAGCACCTAAAAGTATTCGGGGGTGGGGGTGGGGGGAATGGAGCCCCCATTCTTTTAAGTAAAAATCCCATTTATCCTGGGAGCCTGTGATGGAAAATTCCCCGTGGGGACGTTTGCCCCTTCCTGTGGGTCCTGGGTCTGCCTGGGTCCATTTCTCCAGGAAGACTCTCTTGTAAATCTGTGCTTTCTGAGGTGGGAGAGGGAAACAAAGTGTCTTCTAGACGTGTTCCTGGGAGGGCTGGAAACAGGAAACAAATTGGAATCCTGGCCTGTGGGGACGAATGCTGGATGCCAGAGGATGTTTGCACTGAGCATGCCCCCTCCCGCGCCCTGCCATGCCAGCTGGGCCCCTTGCCAGCCACCTCCCAGGGCCCCGTGTCTTAATAATGTCTCACAGAAACCAAGTTTCTCTATGGAACGCCTCAGGTCTGGGCTCTCTTCTCAGCTTAAGCTGTGTTTATAGATTACCCTCAGTATGCCTTTCTGTTTGGGGACATTTTCTTATTTTTTTTTTTTATTTAAAAATAATTCAGAAGGTCTTGACGTTGAAAAGGCATATTCTAAATAAATTTTATAAAAAAAGAAGGAAAAGGCATATTCACTCAAATATGGTGCCAAGGGTATGAACAAAGGAACCTGGGTAGTTCATGTGTCCACACTTCATGTGTCTTGTATGTGCCAAAGAACAGCAGGAGCAGGAAAGAAGGAAGGAAGACAGATGGAGGAAGGAAGGAAATTTCTGTTGCCTGACATTTAAATATTATTATTATTGTTTATTAATTAATATTATTAGTAGTGTGTGGTATATGGTATGTGTGTGCACATGTGTACACAGGTGTGCTTGCCCATGCATGTGAATGTGGAGGCCAGGTGTCCACGCATGTCACATGTCTTTCTTTTCTCCACCTTATTTTTGAGGCAACGTCTCTCACCAAGCCTACACTGGGCACACCCACCATGACGCCCCGGGATCCACCTGCCTTTGCCCACACGGCTGGGATTACAGATGTGGACTGCCATGCCGAGCTTTTACGTGGATGCTGGGGATCTCGTACTTTACAGCAAGCATTTTACCCCCAGCTGGCATTTCAGTGTCTCCAGTACCCTGCCCGGTCTCTGTCTCCTAACAGAAGGACGACATGCCATAAAATAGAATGTGAGGGTGCTGCCTATAGGTCAGGGAAGGCGTCTTGGGGAGCAGGGAGAACAAAGAAAGGCAAGCTCGTTTGCCTGCAAGCGTAGGATCTAGCACCTTGGGTAAAGACTCTGTCCTTGACTTCTCATGCTACATGGTCTGACCCTCTTCTGCAGACAACGTCACGGAACCGTGTTGGAAGTTCCCATAGGAGAGGCCTGAGGGGACACTCTAGGAAGTTCTTCATCACCTCCGCGAGGCATAGACTCCACAGTCGTTGAACACAGTTTTAATAACCAGAGGAACCCAAAAGGAGCCTTTCTTCCGTGCCGTGGTAAACTGAGGTATTGACACGGCTCTGGCAGACATCTCGATTCCTTGTGGGTCTGGGGTCTGGGCCCGCCCACCACTGGCTGTCACAGCTTTTCTGGAACTCTCTCCGTCCATCTCTCCTCTGTGTCCATGAATTCCAGCTGAGTCATGGTGCAGGGAGAAGAGCCAAGTGACGGCTGGCTCTGGCTTAGCGGAGATATATTTCTGTCACAGCGACCAGCTTCCCTGCACCAATGCCCAGAAGCCTGTTCTCCAGGAATCATGGGGGTGCGCCCGGTCCGCAGCCTGCTAACCAACTGATTCCTGAGGAGTGAGAGACCCAGGGACATCAGGTAGACTTCCTGAGATCACTGAACCAATTAGCAGCTGAGCCAAAGACACTTCCAGATCCCTGGCTTCCCACCTACCCCCTCCAACTCCTCATAGGGATGTCTTGACAGCTGGCCTCCCTGGTCAGTGGAGAAGGTGCTTGTGCAGAGACTCAGCTTTGAGGTTACCATACCCAGACACTTGAGCAGGTGATGAATCAGAGAGGATTGTCCCGATCCTTCGCTGTGTTTCCAGAAGGAAGTCTCTGCTTTGAGCTGGCGGCTATGCAGGCTGAGGAGCTGAACTTAGAGAGAGGGTTCAGCCTCTTGAAACCTTGTCTCACAGCTGACTTATTAACCAACCACAGTTTCAAAGCCTGTTCACAGTTTCCAGCTTAGAAAGTGGCCATGGTGGGAGAGTTTATGGCACAGAAGTGTCAGGTGCTGCAGTCAGGGCTTGGTTCCTCACCACCACCACCACCATGTAACTCACTGCCCTGAGAGCTGGCCTACGACCTGCTGTCCATCCTGTGGCGATCCCAGCCATTAGGGACTGTTCCCTGGCCATCACAAGATGAAGAGGTGGCCCTACCATGTTAAAAGGAGACCTTACCCCCAACCTGTAGTCGGCTCTCCACCAAGCTGTGTAGGTAGGGGTTTGTAGGAAAAGAAGAGAGAAGAGGGGAAGGGAGAAGAGAAGGAAGTAAGGAAAGGAGGGAGGGAAGGAGGGGCTGGGGAGATGGATCAGTGGGTAAAGTGACTGGCTTGTAAGGATGAAGGCTAATTTCCCGTATCCATGTAGAAGACAGGCATTATAGTGTGCGCCAATAACCACAGAGCTAAGTTGGGAGGAGAGACAGAGCCTGGGATTGTGTTGGTCAGTTTGTCTAACCAGCGTGGACTTCAGGTCCAGTGTCAGAAAATAGGGTGGACAGAGATTGAGAAGACATCTAAAGCCTACTTCTGGACTCTACACATATGTGCACGTGTGTGCACATGCGTGCACAGGTACAGCCCCCCACGTGTGCAGCCACTCACAAAAGGAGGAGGAGGAGAAAAAGAGATGAAGGGGAGGGGGAAGGAAGATAGAAGATGAGAGGGAGAAGAGGAGGAAAGGAGAAAGGATGGGGAAGAGGTGTCTCATCTATACGCCCCCACGCCCCACTGAACCCCCTTTGTAATTTCCCGTGGTATGTACTTAAAATCCAAACGTGGAGCAAAGCTTCGCCTGGTCTGGCCCCGCCTACCTCCCCAGTCCCTCCCCCCTACTCTGTTTCCTGACAACACTTATTTTATCGACTCATCTGCCTGGTGTTGGTTTTTACCCATCCTTCCCTTCTTCCCCATTTTGATGACTATTCGTGAAGAATGGGCTCAACAGTGCTTGATGAGTGAGACAGACATGGCAGTGCACACCTGTAATCCCAGGATAGACATGGCAGTGCACACCTGTAATCCCAGGACTTGCGCTGAGGCAGGGGAATTTCAACTTTGAGGCCAGCTGAGGATACAAGTAAGTTCAAAGCTATCCTGGGCTGTATAGCAAGATCTTTTCTGGAAGAAAGGGGAGGGGGGGAAGGAAGAGAAAAGAAAGGAAGGAAGGGGACGGAGGGGAGATGTAGCACACCATGCCTGTCTACACTCTATGCACTGCCATGCAGTTTGTGAGCCGGGCAACAGGCTGGAGACTGAAACACACAAAGACACACAGAGACACGGGTCATCCTTGAAACAGAAATGCCCCCTTTATTGTGTCCAGGAGCAGCTTAAATAGGGATCCTTAACTGATAGCCACGTCCCAGCCAAATGCACCAGAAACCACTCTCCTGCCATCAGGAACTCCTGAGGGTCTTGTGCTCAGAGCAGCTGCAAGCATTACAAGTTGTTTACCAGAAATTCAGGATCTGGGGGGTTCACAGCTCCCAACACAGAGAGAAGAAAGAGCATAATGGAGAAGGGGAGGGAAGGGGACAGGACAGGAGAGGGGAGCAGTGAGCAAAGGGCTACCAATCCATTTCTCTTCTGAGCCCACTGAAGACACCGTTCCAACGATGAACTAAAAGAATCACCTGGCTCCGGCTGAGCCCCAGCCAGGCACAGCCTTCTGCTGTATTCCCAGACCTCAGCTCTCCATGGACTCTGTATGCCCAGTGCCCTGTATGCCCGCTTCTCTGAAGGGGTACTGGAAGGCTCCGCAGACACCTCAGCCCAGGTAGAACCAGTGGTTGGGGATTTCTGGGTAGAAGTCACCTCAGGTTCAAACGGATTCTGCCTACTTGCCAAGACACTAATCCTTACATCAAAGGGGCTTGGGCACCACAGTCTGACTCTGTGCTGTTCTGTTCCCATCTTGGACAATGTGTTGGGGAGGCAGCCACCCAGTGAGCAAGTAAAACACTCTGACCACGTGTTGGGGGATCGCCACAGTCGGCCGGCAGCTTGTGTGTGCACGGAGGCTCTACTCAGTCGCTCAGACCCAAGCAGCTTCCGGTTGGTTGTTGGAACTGGAGCTGGCGATTTGCTTTAAATAGGCACTGGCGCAGGGCTCACTGCTTGTTTCTTTGTTTGTTTTTGAATCCTAAAGGTGCTTTCCAAGAAGCAAGGACAAACCAGTCTTAGAGCGGAACTCGGAGCCTGAGTGGAAGGGAAGGCGGCTTTTCTGTAGCTGAATGGCGGCAACAGCGCAAGGCGTGGCCCGGGGTCTTTCAGGAGCTGTGAAGACCACAGAGGGCAAGCCTGTCTCCCTCAAGCTGCATGTGCTTCCCCAGACCTAGTGCAGGAAATTGACATCACAATACATATATTATTCCCTACTTTTCTGGAGCCTGGGAATCCGGTCTGTCACAGGACCACGCCTCTTCCAAAAGTGCTGGGGGAGCATCTTCCTGCCTCCACCCAATGCTCCTTGACATTCCTTGACCCTCTGTCACCCCCCCATCTCAGTCTTTGTTATTATGCCTTGGGTAGAAGGTCCATCCTCATCCAGAACGGTGAGCTCAGGCATCAGAATCAGACAACTAATCAACCTTGAGGAGGGGACGTTGCAATCGGCGACATTGCTCTGAGGCATACAAGGAGGACCCCATGTGTGTTTCCTAGGCATGCTGAGCTGGTGAGAGAAGAGACTCAGGGAAGTAAGATGGGACCCAAAGGACAGGAAGCAGCGTGAACCGGCACATGTGGAGGCCGTGGGGGAAAGACCATCGGAAGACAGGTCCGTCACAGCGAGGTGCGACTGAGCAGTTGACATCACGATGGAGGACGCAGGTGGCAGAGGACAGCTACTTCCAACAGCAGACAGTAAACAGAGAGGGAACACCAGTGCTTGGCACACACGGCTGCTATCCTAGAGCCTCCTCTCTGGGTGAGACAGGCAATACCTGCAAACAAGATGCTTAGCCAAAGCCCGAAGGCAAAAAAGAGAGCCAGTCCAGCAGACTTCTGGGGAAAGGACTGGGCCAGGCCAGCGGCTGGTGATGGAGAGAACCAAGAGGAGGAGAAGCAGGCAGAGGAGGAAGGCATGGGACGTCACCAAGCCATGGAGGTTGTGGTGGTTTGCGTAAGAATGGCTCATGCGTTGGAATGTTTGCTCATCAGGGAGCGGCACTATTTGAGAAGGATTAGGAGGTGTGAGCTTGTTGGAAAAAGTGTGTCATTGCGGTGAGTGTGCTTTGAGGTTTCAGAAGCCCATGCCAGACCCAGACTCACTCTCTCTCTCTCTCTCTCTCTCTCTCTCTCTGCCTACAGATCAGCATGATGCTCTTCACCGCTTCTCCAGCACCATGTCTGCCTGCTGCCAGGTTCCCTGGCTTGATGACAATGAACTAAGCCCCCAAAACTGTAAAAAGGCTCCCAATCAAATGCTTTTCTTTCTAAGTGTTGCCTTGGTCATGATGTCTCTCCCTAGCAACAGGACAGGGATTAAGACAGGAGCCATCCTGAACCCTTGGTCTTCCTCAGGTGGAGGTGGCAGCCATCTCTTATGTGGAGATGTGACATTATCCCAGCGTTAGCAGCGTCCTCTGGCTGCATTGCTGAGGGGAGTGGATGCGGTGGCAGCAGGGACGTGGATCCCAGAGCTGGAGAAACAATCCAGGAAAAGCAGAAGTTGGCTCTCGTCGGGGTGGAAGCAGGGTCAAGCTTGGATCTCTTTTGCAGATACGGTCAATAATATTGGCCAACAGATCAAGGTTGGACATTGGAGAGCCATGTCTGCGGCCAGTGGGAAAGCAGAGCTGCTGGTCCCAGGGATGTGCTGACTAGGGGACTGGACATGGGAGGGAAGTCAGAGGCCTCCTTCACACACATTCTACCTGACATGCCAAGCAGATGGCCCAGTGCACTCCTGAGAGTCTCAAGGGAAGAGGGTACCCAGAGGAAGGCGGTGCTGGCCAGCCTCAGAGTGGAGGGTGGGCTTGTGCACAGGAAAGAAACAGGAAGACTGAGCTCTTAAATCAGAGGAGCTTAGGAGGAGGCTCGGGAGCATGCAGAGGAGACAGGAGGAAGGAGGGGCATGCAGGCATGAAGAGAGGGAGAGAGGGAAGTTAGGAGAGCCAGAGAGAGGAGATGAGAGGGAAGGGACAAGAGAAAGGAGGACGAGGCATTTCAGAGTAATGTCTGGGTTGCATGCCCCTGGCGGAACTCCGGGGCTGAGATCTGACTTAGTTCCACGGGATCTAGGACTTCTGGATGAGAATTTTAAGGAGAGGCCTTGTCCAAAGCATCCATGTAGTAACATAGTGATTTCTCTAAACCATGTTGGTACCTTTGAGCACTCAGGTACTGCTGCCAGTGAGGGATGCTTCTGGGTGTCCCTCCAGGAGTGCTCCCTGCAGGTGGTCCAGGCCAGTTTGCCCTGTGAATCCTCCTCATCTGAGCTCCTTCATAAGTCCTCTCTGTAAGTTTTCCCCTCGAGGGCTCCATGGGTGCTCTCCATGAGTCCTCCCCGTATGTATTCTCCATGAATGGTCCTCTGTGAGTGTTCCATTTGAATGTTCCTTGTAAATGCTCCATGTAAGTGCTTTCCTCGAGAGCTCCTTTAGTGGAGGATGCTAAGGGATTCCAGGGCTGCTCCAGCGGGAAGCATCTGCTCCTCCATCAGCATCAGCACCAACACAGCTGTGAGAAGGGTAAGCAAGGCGATGAGTTGGCACCACAGAGAGGCAACACCAGAGATCTTGATAGAACTTTGAGTATGGACCGTCCTGGAACACAAGCCCTAAAGAGCTCATCGAGTTTAGTCTGTCTTGGAGTCCTGTCCCTTCCTCTCTTCCAAGGGAGACACACTTGCACTGGCCCCATAGTCAGCACTGCAGTCTGCTTTGATGCTGTTTCTCCTTCCTCACCTCCTGCCCCTATGCATTTGTGGCTCTTCCCCTTCTCGTTTAGATTCAGAGAGCCAGAGCTTTGGTGATACCCTCACTTCACTGGCGATGCCTGCTCCCCCATCCTCTCCCTCATACCACCTTCATGCACGATGCTTTAAAGGACAGCAAGGCTCCCTCAGGAAAATCCTTTTTCTACTTTTCGGCATGGCTTCCAAGAGGTGAGGTTATGGGTTGTATGGAGGTGGAGCTATGTGTTGAGCGAGACCTTCCCTGCGGAGACCACACACACACACACACACACACACACACACACACACACACACGGAATTGGTGAGAGAACAAAGTAACAATTATACCACATTCCACTTGTTGGACCGGTGAATTTACTGGGCTCACTAGCAGGGGTGTGTGTGGCAGGTGACTTTCGGAAGCATGTGTGACTTGAAAGCAGCTGTCCCAACGAAAGCCCACCCCAGCACGGGTGATTTGACTCATGATTCGTGACTCACAAATGCTTAAACCTTGGGACTCTCTGAGAGACTTGCAGGCGGCTCCGAGATTGGAGACTCTTCTTCAGGCAGCCTTGATGATCAGAATCCACTCCCCCGGCAGTGGTTCGTTGCTTTTGTGATCTTAGGGAGGTCTTCCTGGATCTCGTGAGTGACAGCTTCAAGTCAGAAACTGCTATACAAACCACACCTGTCTTTCCCTCTGTATTAGCTTTCTTTTTTTATGTCGTGGTTGAAATACCCAGCAGTATGCAATTCAAAGGAGAGAAGGTTTGTTTGGCTCATGGTTCAAGGGTCACGGGCCTTCTTTATCCCGTCTGAGCCCTCAGCTCATGGGACAGTGCTGCTCACACTCGGGGTGGGTCTTCCCCCTCATTTAATCTGCTCCGGAAGCACACTCACAGATACATCCAAAGATGGGCCTCAGTATTGCCCTAGGGTCCAGCGGTGCCCAACCCTTTGCCTTGGTGACATGCTGTCTTCATCTACTAATGAGCTGGGCCGCATTTGTATCAGTCCTGAGACACATGTGTCTCCAGAATGCAAGTTAAGCATACCCAAGTGTTTCTGAATCCAGTCAAACAGACATTTATCCTGTCTACCTTTCTCCTGTTCATGCTGGCTGTGGAAATGTAGTGAACGAGCATGGGCTAACTGAATGGAGATCATACGCTCAGGCCGTCAGAGCCAGAACAGGGAAGATGCCCCCATCTCTGCTGCTCACTCTCCACTTTGTATGAAGGAACAATAAAATCCCATCTTATCTGAACTGTATTGTTGGGAAGGGTGTGGAGACAGAAGGACAAAATCTTGTTCTATAGTCCTAGCCGGCCTGAAGCTTGAACGTACACCAGGCTGGCTTTTCACACACGGTGTGATCTTCTTGCCTCCCCCTCCTGAGCGCTGAATTGAAGGTGTGAACTGCCACGCCCTGCTGAACCATATTGCTTTGAGGTTTTGATAGCGCTGTGGTATGTGAGTTGTGTCTGGTTTAGTCTCGCGGCTTTGACCAACTCACGAGACTGTAGGGACATGAAGACAGACTATGTGGCTTGCTAGCCTTTGGTCAAGCAGATGGTTCAACATTGCTCAACACACAGCAAAGGCGTACTGGAAGCAGTAGATGGATTCCCAGGTGACTCAGGCATCCAAGAGCTTGCTTTGCAGAGAGTGGGTAACTTGAGACCCATTCCTCATATGTGCCCTTGCAGGTTGTCATGGGCCAAGCATAGATGTCCTCAAAGCTGGAGAGGCAAGAGAATGGAAGTCCCCACCCTCTGGAGCATGCTCTGGGAGTGAGCCCCTCAAAAAAGCCAGATGACATGGTCTTCTCCACTCATGCTTGAGCATCAATTTATTACAAGGATGCAAAGACTTCCCTCTCCAAAGAGATGATGCCTTCACGGATGCAGAGGCAGGAAAGCTGTCTGGGAGATAAATATGAAGCTCGGAAAATGAAGAACCCATAGCTTCTTTGAATGCTGACTGTTCAGAGCTCTGACTCTCCACCATGTGGGGATGAGGAGGAGGACTGTGTGTGTGCGTGTATGTGTGTGTGTGTGTGTGTGTGTGTGTGTGTGTGTGTGTCTGCAGGTACCCAGTGAGACCAGGAGAGGGCATCAGATACCCTGGAACTAGAGTTACAGGCTGTTGTGAGTGTCCGGTTATGGGTACTGGGAACCAAACTTTGGTCCTCTGCAAAAGCAGCAAGTGTTTTAACTGCCGAGTCATCTCCCCAGCCCTCTGTATTGTCTGCTGGCTGTAGCTATCCACACCAGGTGTGCCCCTCTTATAGTGAGATAAAAACTGACTGTGAGGCCATCAGGTGTGAATCACACTTGTTTAGCTCGCTCTCTATCGATTAGCTGAACTCAGGAACTAAACCCCAGGCCTCCATGATCTGTAATTCCAGGACATCTGATCCACTGGTCCCATCTGTATTTCGATGTACGTGTGCTAATGTAAATGGGATAATTCTCACCTGCAGAATTGAAGATGCTGGTGCACTATCACGGGTCACATTCTCGGTCATCTTTCTCATGGGGTTGATGGGTTTGCGAGGGTCAGTTCCTTCCCTCTCACTTTGTCCGGCTGGTGACTGGAGGGTCTTCTCGGAGACAGATGGCCAAGGTTAAGGGTGGTTTCTGAGGCCACAAGGCAGAGTGAAATGAATGGTTCCTTTCATGAGCGGACTGACCCCCTGACCTTGAGCTCGCCAGCCCAGGACTCCAGTGCAGTGATGGCCCCCCTCAATTTCAGATCACTCTCGAGTGCTTCCACTTTTTCTCACGAGGGAGCTTTGGAGTTCCCCAACCAAAACTCATGTTAACTCAGTTTAATTTAAACCAGAAGCATTAGCTAAGCAGGCAGCCCTCAGCAGGCACGGAAGACAATGACCACTAGGAGAAATCCAGCCCTCGCGCACTGCGCAATGCAGACTCCCAACAACACCTCCCTCCAGCCCCCTGAGCCAGATAGACCGGGAACGAAGGAGTCTGTGGGGCAGACACAGAGGCTTTTAAACAGCACCACGCCCACCAGACATCTGTGTCTCATAGAGATTGTTTCA